ATTTTTTTTATCAATAGATGCTATCTATATGTAGTAGGAAATTTGGAAAAAGAAATTTGTAAGGATTAAAATGTTGGAGTGATTGCGATTATCCATACTGTCGTAACAGTTTGCGTATTTTTGCACTCCCGAACACGACGAAGATTTTAAATTAAATGTGTATATTTTGGTGTTTTTTTTTTTCATATTGGGCTTATAAAAAATACCCTATGCATTTTTTTGCTAATTATTGGGGAATTTTACAGAACGAACCCTTGCTTTTGTTGTTATTTACAACACGAGTCAAATTTTCAAGACCAAGTTAACGAAAATAATCAGTGAAAAGTAAATATTTATGCCATTATTATTTAATTTTAATTTGCTCAAATACAGGGTGTCCCACGAGGCTCCTCCCAAATGATCATTTCGGAACGCATCATCGTATGTTCCACTGTATAATTTTCTGTCATATCTTTTAATAAAGCCTCAACAAATATGGCATAGCCGATTTTGTAATTTAATTTTCTAACGAAAAATACCATAATATACCATGAGTTACATTTAAGATTCGAAAGTTGACGTCACTTGAGCGAAATTGAAGCAAAAATGGTAAAATTGGATGACAATGGTAGAAGCGGCACAAAAAGTTACCCAGATCCTCAAAATTTCAATTATATTGGATCACGCGTTCCGAAGTTATCACCTGGGAGAAACGTCGTGGACACCCTGTCATTAACATCCACTTAACGTAACGTAACGAAAAATTATAACGTTCGAAACTGAGAAGGTTTGTGTTTACATTGTTTACAATGAAGTTAATTTTCCTACGTGTAATCACCAATAACATTAATATAAAAGACAAGTTCAATCTGTCTGTCATTCATAATTATTATTGAAATTAACGTACGGATTTCCTTAAGTTAAAATTGGTTCAACTTTTCCGTGTGTTAAGCGGCGTTTCCACATGCATAGTTTATTGGCGCTAGTCGACTGGCGTAACTTTTCTGGCACGTGGAAACGCAGAAAATTAACTGGCACCAGTTAACTGTCGCCACTTTTTCATGCGCCAGTAAAGTAGAATGGAAGTCTACTTTTTGGCGCCAGTTTGCCATGTGTGACAGTTTGTCAAAAAAAATACAAACGTTTTCACTAGTGGTTCCCAAAAAATTGAACATATTAAGTTTATGGAAGAGCATCCCTGTTTGTGGAATCATAAACGTTTGTGCTACAAAGACAGGAAAAACCGCATGATGCTATAAGGATAAGTGTTGACGTATTGTGCGGGTTCTCGCGTTCTTAAGTGGCTTTGATATCACTGCTGCTAAAACCAAAATAAAAAGCTTTGGAAATTCTTCATGATCTTCATCCGCTAACTCAGACAGTAAATTATTTGATGCTCCTAGAGCTTATCTGTGTGAAATCCATCTTGTGTTTATGTCTCTTCTTCTTGTTTTTTCGGGTCTTCTGAAATAATTCTAGAAACAAAATATCCACAGCAACATTAATACCTGCTTGAACCATTTAAGTTGACGCCATTTTCAATTTTTCTACTGCGCCAGCTAAAAGTTTTTGATATCAAGTGGAAACAGATACTGGCGCCACTATTATTACGGCAACAAATTGGCACGTGCACTAGCGCCAATAAACTATGCGTGTGGAAACGCTACTTTACGTTAATTTTCTTAATTTTTAGGTGGATCTAAACAACTACATATAAGTACATGATCTTCAACTTTACTTTATTATTAATTTTCCGTAGGTACGTTGAGTTAAGTGGATGTAAATGACACTAAAGACGCGCGCTGTGCTAAGTGTGGTGAAGCTACCCGGAGTAGGTAGTGCACGGCCGATAAAACTCTCAACTTCAAGTGACGATATCTTGAAAACTATGCATCGCGGAGTATCGTGTTTTTTTTCAAAAATTTCCATGATGTCTTAGCTTTGTTTTATTCGCTGATAGTATGCAGAAATCCTTAAAACAAAAAAGTTTCTCGCTTACTGAAAAAAATACTGCATAAAAAGTGTAAGTTGAAGTTTTACCTAGTTTTACGAATAAAGCGAGTTTTTCAGAAAAACAAAATGATCTTACTGATTTTCGCTAACATAATCTCTTTAGAATAAAAAAAAATCAATGAAATTATCTCAATTGGTTTAGGAGATATCGCGAGGTAGGTGTGAAAAAGTATGAAAACTGAATTTTGACAAATTCATGACATTTTTCGATATAAAAATTGTTGGACCTAGTAAAAAAAAATTGTAATTAGCCAATAATGTAGTTCTTGTACATTTTTCTCATCTAAGTAGAAATTAAAATAAAAATAAAATTACAAAGATAGAAACACAACGACAATGTGCTGCAATTGGCAACACGGTGTAGGTTTTCGTACTCAGGGGTCAAATGAAATCGCGCGACAGAAAGCCTGGATCCATCGGAGGGGCCCGATTTTTAACATGCAATTATCCTTCTAGTTCGTATATTATTCTATGTTGTTACGGTTACCGAGATCCCAATGATGAGGCTCAAATTTGGGCCACCCTGAACAGCATTTTCAAAGTCTGTCCAGCATTTGATTCTGTACATCAAACGTACAGCGATTCGAATCCGATCATAATTAAGTTTTTCTTAAAAAAAAATTACGAAAAATTGTCCGTCAATGACTAACGACATTTCTACATTTGCGATTTACGTCATTTACGCCATTATCTCCCAGAGTATTCTTTTTAATGCTAACTGCTTTTTTTTATCTCTCTCTCTATTCCACGCTGCTAAGAAGAAGACACAGCATAATAGGTCTGTTTCTGCAGCAATCACAAACCAGTCAGCGCGAATTTCATTGGTTGAAAATAGTCAAAAAGTCAGAAACAGTCAGAAAACTAGTTTCAACCCAAGGTTCCTAAAGTTAATAGGTTGTCTGATAATGATGACAGCATCAGGAAGATCTAATGGAGATTTGCATTATGTTTAGGCATCCAGATGACGTCATAAAAGTTATTAGCCAACCTACCTCTTTCAAACAACCTTGGCTTCAACCATTAAGGTTTTCAACCAATGAAATTTATTCTGACTAGTCTGACTGGTTTGTGATTTCTTTGCGAACAGACCTATTATGTTATGTCTTTCATTTTTTTTTTTTTTTCGTTAAGTGGTACTAAAACAGACTAAAAATTCGACAAAATTTACATTTAGTGCTTTCTCCACTCACCTGTCCCAAAATTTAAGATGTGTAGGTACAAACAGCATTCATTCAAAAAAAATATGGTCACCCTACAATAATATCTATTCTGTCATAATTTTTATTTATATCTGTCTGAACCTTTTTATTTTATTTTATTGTGTTATAAATATTTTAGTTTCTCTTTCGTTTGCCCGTGGTTGGTTGTCATTGTTGTCAAACATGGCTTTTAAGTGTCTTTTTGACATTTTGTAGCTAACATTTTTATTTTTATACTTGTCTGAACCTTTTTATTTTATATTGTTGTGTTATACCTTACCGTTGTTATTAATTTGTCAAACATGGCTTCCAAGTATGAAATTTGTCAATCTTGCCAATTTTTTATTTAAATGGTCAATATGGGAGTGAAATTTCAGTTGCGTGTCAATGTGCAACCCAATAAACTTCACAGTTGTTCTATTTGCCAGGATTTCGCTTTTTAGTCTGATGTCAGTCAAAGAGCACTTGAAAGTGAGTATGTTTGTCATTTGTCATAGTCTCACACTCTCTATTTTTCGCTTCTAGTTGTGCAATATTTTTGTTTGTAATTGTATTCTCTTTAGATCCACTTTCCTTGTTTTCTGCATTATGCCTGAATGATGTCGTGCACATCTCACAGAAATAGCGTACCTTTCAAGATATTAATTCCAGAAACCTTACTTCTGAAGCACCCCAACCTCCACAACTCCTACAGGTGATCATGTAATAGTGGTCACATGCGCATCCAAAAACATCGCCACTATTTTTTGCGGGTTCCCTAAAGACGCAATTTGTACCGCATTTTTAACATTTTTGGGGCATTAACATCCCCATTTCTTGGAAGAAGTTTCTCTTGGTGTATGACATGTTGCGCCGTCTTGTTGGAAAAGTAAAGCGTATGTGAACAATTCAAGAGTTGAAAGATGAGATTCAACGCATTATTCGTGAGATACCACTGGAAATTTTGGCAAAAGAATTGTGTGCTGTGAGAGTAGTCGCGATGGCCATTTGTTAGATATTGTGTTTCACGTATAATTGTAAACAATTATGTTACTTATTGCTATAAAGTATTAAATGTTTCTTGGTTTGCTTTTCGTTTGAATTGAAAAAAAAAACATCCGGAACCTCTTATTGGAATACCCTAAAGTTTTTTGGAAATTATCATGGCCAACAATGATTTCTGCGACCGCAGTAGAAAGCTAGATTGCTGCGAAGAATCAGTCTGGGATGAAAACGCATTGCTGACTTCAGCAGTACTATTGGGTGATTGGTCAATATCTCTTGCCTGCTTTTCAAAATGCAACAAAGTGTGATGTGTTTGTTTGCATTTGTGACAACAATATGTAGATTAACATTTTTTTTTGCTGTATCAACATGCCTTAAACAATGTATACAAAGATTATTAATTTTTATTAACTGATAACGCTCTGGAGGAGTTTTTGACAAAAGGTCAAGGCATTTGTGAATAAGATGACTTTTTTTTGTATAAGTGCACAAATCCTGACTTAAACCACTTGAACAAAGTTGGAGTTTAAAAATTTTGTACGGTCATGCTGCAACTCAAACTCGGGTGCTACCGTTACATCAATGTGCTTTAGCAGCATTTGAACTAGAATGAAATCCCAATGGTCACTTGGCAATTTGAAGCTTTTTATACTTATTACTGTTACGTTTGTGTTGTGTATCAATTTGTGTTTTTAACCACACTTGATGAAGAGCCTATAAAATACTGTTATTCAAGACAGTTCAACGAATCACTTTAATCAACAGCTGTAGAAGATGGACGACCTACATAAAAGAATCTCAATTTACTTCTTTTTTTTTTCACAGATGTCGTCAAAGCTGCATCCAAAAATGTCCAACAAAAAGAACTGGAAGACAACCGTAAAATCGTCGAGGATTCGTTAGGCTACAGCCAAGCTCAAAAAGACGCCAACATAGCAGACGCCAAAGCTCTGATTTCAAATCTTATGAGCTCGTTCTCGCAAACCAACAGCACGACCAGCGAAACTGGAGCTTCAGTCGTCAATCTGCTGGGTTTGCCAATTTCCAGTTCCAGTAGTAGGACTTTGAAATCCCAGTCGGCCAGTATCACTACTACTACATCTTCAGCAAACTTTGCCAACACGCTGGGTAGTATTAATATGGACAATTTGGCTAGCATCGTTAGTAATGTGCAAAAGAATAGTCAGGAACAGAAAATGAATTTCGAGCCGTCTCGTCCCCCTATGTCTGTAGAAAGGTAAGAAACTATGTTAATTTAATGAAAGTATAAACGAAGTGATTTATCATCATGATCAATTTTTATGCTGTCAAGGTAAATTGAATATAATCCTATATACTCTATAAATAAATATAATATAAAATCATATTATAATTAATTTATGAAATATAATAGAAAGTTATAACAGGATTTGAAATCTTTCAGAAATATTCACGACACCAGACATTCAAACCCTCCAGCACCGGGTATGCATTTCGAACCAGTTCCGAATCCACATTTGAGCGGCGGTCCGGATCCGATAATGATGGCTCAGAGGCATCACATGGTTCCGCCCGTGAACCAAATGGCTCAGAGGCCTTTCGCACCAAGACCTCAGAACCCGCACCAGTTTGGAAATAATCAGTTTAGAAATCAGAGACCGCCACCGGCGCGTCCTCAATTTAATAATAATCCTAATTTTAATGGTAATCCTAGATTTGGCGGTCCTAGGGGGGCGGCTTTCAACAGGTGGTAGTTTTAAGATTTTTTTTTTTTTGATTTTTAAGTATTCAAGTACACATTCTAATTGGAACAATATTGATATTGATATGAATAAATAATTGAATGAAAATTGAATTTTTTATTAGGAATTGACTATGCTCTAATGCTATACAAACTTCTTTCATCAGGACAATTTCATTCATCAGGACATTTCTAAAGTCGTTTTTTGTGAGAACAAGTTTTCAATTTCCTTGGTCATAGGTCAGTAGCTCACTAAATAAGTTTTTCAAAAATATATCTACTTACTGCAACATCCCCCCGGAAACTACCCCTGCCCCTTATGGAAGTTGTCGCAACCACTCTTTTGCGATTAGTATTTCGTTACATATGCATTGTATGGGAAGGAAATTTATAAGAAATTGAAGAACATCATTTGCTCTACAACTAGGTTCCTAATGCATTTTTTTATATTCTGTAACCGTTACGCCACAGTGGCGTCCCAAAGCTCAGAAATGTTATAGCGAATTTCAGTTTTATTTCATTATCTCGTCACTGAACTTTAGGACGCCACTGTGGTATAACGATTGCAAATATAAAAAAAATGCATCGAGACCTTATTTGTAGAGCATATGGTAGTCTTTAATTTCGTATAAATTTCCTTCCTATGCAATGATAGGTAACGAAATAATCACAAAAGAGTGGTTGCGACAACTTCCACTTCCATAAGGGGCAGGGGTAGTTTCCAGAAGCATGTTGCAATAAGTAGATATATTTTTGGAAAGCTTATTTAGTCCGCTACTGACCTCTGTGAAACAAAAAGCCCCAAAAAAAAAAAAATCACCCCCTTAATATTTTTTTCCGTCTAGTGGAGTTATAGTAGAAACATGCTTTTGGTTTCTATGCATGTATGTCAGAGGTGTGCACAAAATAATATTTGAACCATTCACATGGAGGGTGTGCGAGAAAACGAAAAAAAAAGGCATTTAAAAGGCATTTTTTTTTCAAGTTTTATTTTTTTTGGGGTGGTTCCAGGTGAAAAATGGGGATGCATTATATGAATTTTTGAATATCATTCCTACATCACTAATCCCTGAAAATTTGAACAGTCTAGCATTAGCCCTTTATATAGATGATATGAAAGGGGGTTGCTTAAAAAACTCATAATTTTCGTAATTCCCCCGTAACTTTTTCGTAATTTTCCCATAACTTCAAAAATCATAATTTTTTCGTAATTCCCGTAATTTTTTCTACCTATTTAATTCTCCTTATTTTTTAAAAAACTTCGTTATTTTTGAATTCCCCCCAAGTTTTGTAATTTTCATAATTTCAAAAATTCGTGATTTTCGTAATTCCTATAATTTTTGTAATTTCCGTGATTCTCTTTATTTTTATATTTCCAGTAATTTTTCGTAATTTGCGTAACTTTTCAAAAATTGCGAAAAAGTGATTGTCAAAATCGTAGGAAAGTGACGTTGGAATTACGAAAAATAGAAGTAAAAATTCCAGAAAAATGAGGTTGGAAATGTTGGAATTGCGAAAAAGTTGAGTAAAAATAGCGGAAAAGCAAGGTTATAATCGAGAAAAAAATGAAATTATAAATACGAAAAACAAAAGTAAAGATTATGGAAAAATTAAGTTGAAATTGCGGAAATGCGAGGCGAAAATCGCGAAAAAGTGAGGTTATACTTATTGAAAAAGGAGGCAAAAATCACGGAAAAGTGAGGCAAAATTTGCGGAAAAATTTGCTGAAATTGCGAAAAAATGAGTTTGGACTTTGAAATTGCGTAAAAGTGAAGGTGAAATTGCGAAAAAAAAAATGTTAAAAGCCGTTATTTCTCAACTAAATTTCGTTATTTTTATAATTTTTCCTTAGTTTTTGCAATTTTCGTAATTCCCATAACCTTTTCGTAATTTCCTTAATTTTTCATAATTTTCCAAAATTCATCGTAATTTTTCTGTAATACCTATAATTTTTGAATAATTGCTGTTGTTTCTCAGATTTTCGTAATTTTTTAATTTCCGTAATTTCCTTAAATATTCAGTTACTAATTTCATAATTCCCCCTAAGTTTTTGTTATTTTCAAAAATTCGTAATTCCCGTAATTTTCAATTTTTTTTTTTTGTGAATTTTCATTATTACCGTAATTTCTTAGATAATTCTCCCTATCTCTATAATTCTTCCTTAGTCATTGCAAATCTTGGAAAACTCGTAATTTTCGTAATTCCCGTAACTTTTTCATAAATCCCGTAACTTTCCAAAAATTATCGTAATTTTTTCGCAATTCCCGTGATTTTTTCTTATTTCTTTCAATTTTTATATTTCCTGTAGTTCCTCAAATTTTCGTAATTTTGTAATTCCCGTAATTTTTCAAAAAACTCCGTTATCTTTATAATTCCCCCCAAGTTTGTTCAGATTCTCAAAACTTGGTAATTTCCGTAATTTTTTTTTTCTTGGAATTTTCAAAAATTTTAAAATTCCCGTCATTTCTCAAAAAAATTCTTCGTTAATTTCATAATTCCCCCGATTTCCCCCTTAGTTTTTACAATTTTTGGAAAATTTGTGAATCCCGTAACTTTTTGTAATTCTTGTTATTTTCGTAATTTTTTGAAAATTGTCACAATTTTTTTAATTCCCGTGATTTTTGCATAATTTTTGGATAATTCCTGTAGTTTTCAGATTTCCGTAATTTTTTAATTCCTGTAATTTCTCAGAAAACTCCGTTATTTTCATAATTCCGAAATTATGTAATTCTCGTAATTTTCGTATTTTATTTTGGGAATTTTCGAAATTTTTTAATTCCTGTCATTTCGCAGATAATTCTTATTATTTTCTAATTCCCCTTTATTTTTTTCAATTTTTGGAAAACTTGTTAATTTTCGTTATTCCCGCAATTTTTCGCGCTTTTCCCATCGTGATGTTTTCGTAATTCCAGTAATTATTTATATTTTCAATTTTTTAATTTTCGTAATTTTTCGTATTTTTCTCAATTCCCGTGATTTTTATAATTTCTCATAATTTCCGTAAATTTTCGTCATTTTACTGGGTTCCGTAAATTTTTATAATTCTCATTATTTTTCGTAATTCCCGTAATTTGTCTTGTTAGTTTTCGTAACTTTTCAAAAATTACTAATATTCAAATAATTGACGTAATTTTGGAGTAACTTCGTAATTTTTTTGTGTATCTAATATTTGGCAATTCCCATAATTTTTGTAATTCCCCGCAATTTCTTGTTATTCTGTGATTCTCGTCATGTTCCGTAATTCTCGTAAATGTTTGCAATTCTCATAATTTTTCATATTCTACGTACTTTAACGTAATTCTCGTAATTTTTCGTAACTTTTTAAAAATTATCGTTATTCTCGTAATTTTGAAATGAAGAAAAATGAGGATAAAATCGCGGAAAGTGATGATAAAATCGCAAAAAAAAGAGTCAAAAATCGCAAAAAAAATATGAGTCAAAAATTTCAAAAAAAGTGAGTTTAAACTCGCGGAAAAATAAGATGAGACTCACGGAAAAATGAGGATAAAGTCACGAAAAGTGAGGATAAAATCGCGGAGAATGAAATGGGAACGCAAAAAAGTGAGGATAATATCGCAAAAAAAAGTGAGACAAGAATCGCGGAAAAATGAGATAATATTTACAAAAAAGTGGGTTTACAATCGCGAAAAAGTGGATTTAGAATCGCGGTAAGTGATGGTAAAATCGCAAAAAAATGAGTCAAAAATTGCAAAAAAAATTATTTAAAAATCACAAAAAAAGTGAGGTCAAATTCGCGGAAAAATGAAGATAAAATTGCGGAAAGTAGGGAAACAATCGCGGGAAAATGAGGTGAGAATCGCGGTAAAATGAAGATGAAATAGCGCAAAAATCAGTTTGTAATCGCCGAGGAGTGAGCGGCAAAAAAGTGAGGGTGAAATCGCAAAAAAGTGAGGCTAAAATCGCAAAAAAAGTAGGGATAAATTCGCAAAAAAGAGAGTCAAAAATCTTAAAAAGAGCCAAAAATCGGAAAAAAGTGAAGACAAAATTGCAAAAAAGTGGGTCAAAAATCGCAAAAAAAAATGAGTCAAAAATTTCAAAATAAGTGAGTGAATTCGTGAAAAAGTGAAATAAGAATCGCGGAAAAATGAGGTAATATTTGCGGAAAAGTGGGTTACAATCGCGGAAAAGTGAATTTAGAATCGCGGAGAAGTGATAGTAAAATCTAAGATTTCTAAATTATGACGTCATCGATGACGTAAGTAAGTACAAAAAGTACAAAAAAAAATAAATTCACTGATTTTTTATATTAGTTTTAGGTAGTGCTATGGTGGGATGCCGAATGGGAGTGCTAATTTTTGCTTTAGGGGTGCTTAGCACCCCCCTAGTTACGCCTATGGTTATCAAGATTGGTTATTGCCCTTTCATGATTCAAAATTCTAATGAACTTTAATCTCCGGTTAAATTTAAAGTGAGATTAAATTTAAAGTTGGTGTTAAATGATGGTTTATGAATGTAACGGCTTTGCTCTAAAATTAAATGTTTAAGTTTTACAGTTGCCGTTTTGGACTTTGGACCTTGGTCTGCTGGCATTCCTGTTGTATTAAATTAAATAAATAAATAAATAAATGAACAGCCTGTCAAAGTTGCAAAAAAGTTAATTTTCAACTGATGTCAATATTTCCAAAACAGATGAGCTTAGGTACCTATAGGGTATAGGTATCACATGAAATCAGAATTTTACATTAAATCCGAATATTCAATAATATACAGGGCATTCCATTTAAAATAAGAGAGTTGGACCACGACCAGCTTCTCTGAAACACTGTATATGTGAAAAGGAGTTGAAAAAAAAAAAAAACAACCATAAAACTTTCCTTTCGAGATGGCGGGTAGGGCCCCTTCGGGTCCCGGGCCCTGGTAATTTGTACTGGCCGCACCTCCCTATACACGGCCCTGTGTCCTACCAAAAAAAAAATAAAACAACTTGTGTCGAGTTTGCGAGGTTCAACCTCTCTTTCCTGACCTACTTGGACACACAAAAAAATCAGCGGTCGCAGAACACACACTTAACAATGGAAACCACAGAATAAAATTTGAGGAGGTCTAAATCCTAGGTTCTATAGAGAGGCGATTGAAATTCACAAA